CAGAGAAACCCATAGTGGATTCTCAATACAAAATATTAATAAAGATAAAGGCAAAACCTCACCTTAAAAAAAAAAAATAATAATAAAAAAAAATAAAAAATAATAATTTAACAGTTATATTAATTAATATAATTATATTAGAAAAATGATCAAAAATACATTTTACATAAGTTATATGCTTTGTAATTTAATCATAAATTATATCATCATATTTATCATCATTATATTTATATAATTACATGTATAAAAGAATAATATATATATATATATTTATTTCTCTTGATTCAGAGCTTTTTTCGCATCTTACCTTTCAATTGATTCATAGTTTCGTTTTCTATTCACCTTTCACTTGATTCATAGTTTTGTTTTCTATTCACCTTTCGCTTGATTCATAGATTCCTTTTCCTATTTTACCTTTTGCCTGATTTATAGTTTCCTTTTCCTATTTTACCTTTTGTCTAATTCATAGTTTCCTTTTCCTATTTTACCTTTCACTTAACTCATACTTCTTACTTTTTACTTTCATAAATACATTTGTCGTACCGTATCTTAGATCTTATACTTTTTTCTAAAATGACTAGAACTGAAGACATAATTCGTCCCATCACTGCAAATATTTACGCATGTGTAAATTACATCGCAGAAGATACTTCAAGTCTTTCAACTATCACTAAAGGGTTAATAACAATGCTTATTGAGTCCAAAGCCAATCAAGAAAAACAAACCGCTAAGTTTTTAACTATATTAAATAAAATCTAAGACCAAATACAAAAAATCAAAAATCCTCAAGCTTCTCAAATCGATTACAATTCTGAGCTAGATCATAAACTCGATTAAATAGCAGAAAAGATTGGTAAAAAAATCAATGAGAACTTAGAAACCATGGCTAATGATATAATTAGATTAGTAGATGAATTTCTTGGTAATATTATGGAGAAAGTAAAAGGTGAAATAAACAGAAAAAGTTTAAAAGAAATTTTAACTAAACCTAACCCAATTGAAGTTAATGATGATGATGACGATGACTATATTAAAGAATCTGATGAAGAAATCATTAACTGCACTGAAGATGGCCGACCAACGAAATGAAACAAAAAAAAGTCTAAAAAATCCTTTCTAGTTCTATGCGAAAGAATTCATATAAAAATTAATCAGCATTTAGAATGAGCCAAAAAGAAAAAAGAGAGAAGATTGAGTGTTGCTAAGGATATCAGACGTACCTATGTATACAATTTAGGTGAAACTCCTGTGGCACCCTATAATAGAGATGTCACTGAAGCATATATAAAGTTTTTTCAGCAGGAACTAAAGGATAATCCAAACGCTTGTAAGCTAATTCATTTACTATAATCTTACCTTGCTAGAGTTACTATTGCTGTTTTTGAATTAGCAATAAGTAAATTTTACAAATCCTATATATCTTGAATATTAACATTATAAAACAATAGTAATATACAGGATTCATAGGATTCATGAAATTTATTTATCATGCTAATTCATATATATAATTTATTTATTTATATTTCTCATATTATATATATGTTTATTTTTAGCTAAAGAAGAAACGTAGACAGCATCAACTATTCAAAAATTTTGTGTTGCATATATTACTTATTTGCGCAAACAATATAATTTGTTAGAAAATAACGCCAGTAAGGCACAAGAGAATGTTATTGCACTTTGTCATAGTCAACACTGCTATAAAGTGAGTATTTTTTTTTTTGTCGCTATAAATAAATTGATAATATTACATTACTATTAATATAATTTTAGAAATTAGTTGCACGAACTAAAAAGGCATAGAAGCTTACTTTCTCACATCCTTACAAAGAAATTCTCAAAATTCTTCAAATTAATTGTACTTCCCCTAAAATAAGTGAAGATGAAGCTGAAACGTCAGCCAAAAAGCGTGGAAGAAAAAAATTATATGTTCCAGAAATGACTTTTAAATCAGAAGAGGTAATTTGCATCGTTATTTTTTTTTTAATATTTGTACCATGTAATATTCAAATTGATTTCTATTCATAAATGATTCTGAAATTTGACTTTGGTTGACTCGTATTTGATGTTGAATAATTATCTATTTGCTGATTCTAATTTTTACGAACGTACAGCAATAACTATTTAGGGTCTTAATTCCTATATCAAATACTTTACTTATTAAGGACTAGTCAATTTAACGATTCAATTCAAATGCAGAGATTATATTAATAACTTGATTATTTTTAAGGCTATCCGTATTATTGAACAAATCGATCAAGCTATAAGGGTTGATGAATCAGGTGAAAAAAGTAGTAGTCAGTTTCAACCTGATAAATGTATTTGTATTACTCAAGAGAATGAATGTTATACTAGCCTAGTTGCTGAAATACCTGAATCAAAAATAAGTAAATTAACTTCTTGGGCTGTCTGTAAAGGTGCAATTTGTACATCCAGCAGTGATATGGTTCTAGCAGTTCTGGTAAGTGTAATTATTATTATTATTATTATTATTATGCATTATCGAATCCTAACTAATATATATATTTTTTAATTAGAATTTTAAAT